CGCTCTTTGGGCTGTTTGCTGCCATCAAGAGCTACCCTAGTACATGACGAGGTATTGGGTCCCTTCTCCCAGCAGTCAGCACTGGTACTTACTGGGTAGGCTCCACAGCAGCCGGTGCTGTACCCCGTATCAGTTGTTAGACAAACATTTGCAGCTGGAATATGTGGCATGCTCCTCCGATTTGCCCCTTCCCTACCTCATATGGCTAAACATTTGAAACACTGAAACGTGTTCTTTTTATTGCTGTTAACATTCAAAAATCTTGTTTTAGTCTGGTCAGCAAGATACTTGGAAAAGGTCACCATTGCATTTTGTGAATAAAATAGGTCCTCATCCTTCCCCCTACCCGCCAAACTGTGTAGGATCCAGTCCTTTTCTCCCCACCCCCGATGTGTAGTCTGGCTTGATTCATTTTGCTGCCTGGTACTGAGAATACAGCAAACAACTGAGATGTGTGCTGTCTGCTCAAGGCCAGTTTGTTTATGCAGCCATGCAGCGTGGTACATTTTGGATGGAACATTGGGATAATGTATCAGAAGTTACTGAAAATGAAATTACACTGGTAGTGGTTTGTTTTTGATACCTGGTTTGGGAAAGCGTATACTCAAATACTCTAAAATACAGAACTGTTAGAGAAAAATGTGTGTGAGGCAGTCATGCTGCATTTATTGCTTAAGTGTATTATTTAGTTTTGTTCAGACTAGAAAGTAAACAAAGGTTGTACCTGCAAAAGAATTCAAACAGCTGTCTTGGTGTCCCAGAGAGTGAGCATACAAACATGGGTGAGCAGTTTGCAGGATCAGAACTTCAGCCTGCTCTGGGTGGTAAACCCTCAGGAGAGGAAAGAGAAACTCTACTATTTTAAATGCAACTCTACTTATCTTAATATTTCTTATTATTAGATTGTGTTGGTGGTCAGACTCTAAGCATGTGATTAAACTGTTAAAAAATCAAGATATTTAAGGATTATATACTGTATTAAATCCTCTTAACACGCAGTGCACTCTGTTGTCCTGTGAATAGTATAATGTCATGACTGACATGACTGGTAATTTTCCTTTTCTTTTCCAGTACAAGGATGCATTTATGAAGGCAAACCCAGGGTACAAGTGGTGCCCCACAACAAACAAACCTGTGAAAAGCCAGACATCCACTGTTACAAACAGGAAAAAGCTGTGGGCCTTCGCATCAGAGACTGCAAAAGATTTACCGAGCCCAAGAAGTGTGACAAAAAGTGAAGAAATGCCACAGCTTAACTTCGGGATGGCAGGTGAGATTTCCATCCGTGTTACTCAGACAGAGTATCCTTGTTTTGTTTGAGGATGCAGTGTTGAAATTGAACTGCGATAGCAGTTTACTGCACGTGGTACTGTAGTACAAATGCCTTTCATGTCCCAAATTAAGTTGCCAAGACTCCAGTTAAACCTCTGCATAACAGCTTGCTAAAATTTTCCTTAGTGCATGATTGCTTTCAAGAGTCAAGTCCAGATATGTGGCATCATAACCCATACCCCATTTGGGGTCCACATTTGATTGATTTTTAATTCCAGCTTATCTGCTGTTAGAGATTTTCATTTTCTAGTCAAAAAGGAAAATGCTGATTGTGTGCATTCTTTTTCACGGAGCATTGTACTAGGTTTAGTAATTCGCTGTTTACAGAAGTAATTTATGGATGTATGTGAAGTTGGAGGTGTTAACATTCTTGTGGATGAATGTACTGCTGGAGCTAACTTTTTGTATTTAAATCAAAAGAAGCATAAGATAATTTCACGTGAAATATGCTCCTTTGCCCATTATACCTTGGAGGAGTGGATTCTAACCGTTTAGACGTTAAATCCCCAAATAAGTGTAGGTGGAGTGCTTGAAATGGTGAAGAGCAGATAATCTCTCACTGATATCCACAAATAGCAGAACTGTTGCAATCATGACCTTGAAATACAGAGACAATAATGTTAAATACTAGCAGCTTAAGAACCTAACAGTCAAGGTAGAAAATAATTTTTCCTCCACCATCCTTTTTTCTTGTTTTTTTAATCTTCTGTGGTTTAAAGTTTCTAATTTTGTAAATACCCATGTATGTTAAACTTTGTCGTATCCTACCTAGTTTATAACAAGTGTGTGGCAGATACAACTTTCCTCCGTAGGGAGGTAATGAGCTGGAGAGTGGAAAATGGTTTTATGGAACAAATGTACAAGGATAAAAAGGCATGTATACTTTTTTGCTAGTATAGTGGTATGAAAATTCCTGTAATGGAATTCTTTCTGGCTATGAAGGAACTGTGAAATGTGATCAAAAGGAAGTTTTTTTGGTGCTACATAGTTGTGATATATGGGAGACCAATTGTAAAAATCACAAGCCCCTTCATCCTGTTCTGCGTTTGCTATCAGAGGAGTAACTTCTATGCTCCTTAAAGGTTTATTGACTTAAAGAACAAGTAATAGGTCTTGGTCTACCTGTCTGCCACCCCCCCCTACTCCTGCTGGAGTGTCCAAATGCGGAGTTTCCAAGTACAGAGAGTTCTTGAATCAGCACCTGTCAGAGCAGAGGACAGACAACTTAAGAATTAATTAGGAACCAATCAAATCCATTGTTCTATCTGTTGAGCCATTCATTTCTGAAGAAGGCCCTTTTGTGCTATATATGATTTAACTTATTTATGTCTTTTTTTACTGCTAGGGGTCTCACTCTAGTCCTCATGCCAGTGAAGGCTGGCTGCTGCTTGAGTGTTACGATAGTTCATAAAACAGCAGCTTCTGACAGAGATGTTAGCAGCATCCAAATCATAAGTCTGCCATGCCAAATGGATTGCTGTTTTGTCAGATGTAGGGTCATGCTGAATATCTTTTGTTGTGTACTTCTCTCCTTGATTTCATATGATAGTTCAATTCAACTCTGACTCTTCTATCCAGGACAACCTCTTAAAATCCAGGCTGTACATGAGCTGATGAACTAAAAGTTTCTGAGATGGTTCAGCTACAACTTTTACCTTTGAAACGCCACTGACTGTCTTGCATCCTCAAGGCAGATAGCTTCCTTAGGACAGGGACTATATGATTCCAGAGTCGTTCCAGGAAATCAGTTTTACTTGTTGGTAGTTGTTAATCCTGTCTTAATTGCTTTTTACATACTACATTTCATTTTGGAATTTCATGTCATTACATTGGAAAGTGTAACATATGGTGAAAAACTTCCTTGTTTCTTTTTTTAAAGTCCCACACAGGCCATATCTCATGTTTATTTTTGGCATTCCAGCAATAACCACCCCAATTTTAGGTTTCTCATGTTGACCTGTCATTGTGTCAGGAACCTGAGGTGTAGCACCTGCACTGGACCTGCAGACCCACTCGTGGTGTCCTTGCTCATCCAGCCTGGAAGCTGCAATTGAGCCTGTTTTTCTCGTGATACGGCTCAACTCAGATCTGTTGTAGGGTGCAGGGCAAAGACAGCTGCTGTTCGCAGGTGAGCGTGGCCACTGCAACATCTGCCCTCACAACAGCAGAGCTGAGCATCAAACAGCTTTGCTATACAAATGGCCAAGATTCCCACTACTTTCACATTTCTACATCAGAGGAAAACCATCTGAGCCAAAAAGCTTTTTAGTGGAGCAAAGGGTGGAAAAAAAGACACTTCCTAGAGTAGGCAATATCCTGACAGAGATGCAGGTTTTGGTTTTTAGAAAGAAGCTTACCTCTGCACCCAGTTAAGTTAGTTGAAACTGGTACCTTCTGGCCTTACTTCTGCCTAGTTCTTCCTCAGTTCAGTCTTTCCTCTGACTGAAAGATTGTAATGATGAACAAGCCAGGCTGCTGAGTTTCTAACCTGGCCAATACTAACAAAGTATGTCAATTGTTCTAAGTTTCATCAATCTTAAAAGCTGTTGAGAAAGTCACAAATTGCCTGGCATTGTGCAAGTCAAATGTGTGTGCTGTTTTCTCACTTTTGTTGATTTAACTGTAAATTGCTTTAAAATAATACTTAAAATTCTTAATTTTTCATACTAGTAAGTTCTTGGTGCCATAAGAGAAACACTGCTGTGCTGAGAAGGCAGTATAAACATATGGCAGTGTTTGTATACATATGTTTTGTCTTTCCTTAGATGAAGTTATCTTGTGATTTGAAACCTTAGTGGAAGGGGTTTTGATTTTATCATGATCAAATATCTAAGCACCAGACCTTCTGCTACAGCTGCAGAGTAAGTGTTCAGGTTGTTTAAGAACCAAATTAAACTTTCACTATCCACTTAGCTGTTATTTTTTTCTTTCCTCTTAATTTTTATTCTTAAATAAACAGTTTAAGTATTCGCTTTCTTGGGGAAAAAAACAGCCTTATCCTTGTGCTGTTATGACAAGCTACGTATTTGAAGGACAGAAAGCTCAGACCACCAAGAAGATACTTGGAAGAGAGGGAAGAATTTTAAAACCATAAGCTGGCTGTCCTCCAGTTGGCCAAAACTGAGGAGGAGGAAGCCCCACAGGTAGCTAACGGGAACCACAAGAGAGCAGCTGGGAGCCAACAGTGCAATATGGCATAAAAAAGGTGCTGTATCACAGTGTGTCAGGCAAAGAGTTTTCAGAAACTGCAGAGAAGAATTAATGCCATGGAGCAGAGCACAGCTCATCTGACATGGTTGCCGTGCTGGTCAGTCATGTACAGGAGACATGAGCTCCACCTGGAGTAACCAGGGAGGAGAGCTGTAGGGACTGCTGGGACTGTGGGAGATGGACATGTGCAATGACATCGGGAGATCTTGCTTTGCTTTGGCTAGGAAAGCAGCTGGAAGGAGGAGTAGAGAGACTCCTGCAAACACAGAAGAGGGAAATACCACAGTTATTTAATCTTAAAGATGCAGACACAAAAAAAAATGTGTACCGCCTAGCCCTGAGTAAATTTTAGCTGAAAAATGGAAGAAAGGTCTTAATGCTTGGAAGATTTAGGTTCTGCAACAGCCTTCCAATGGGAATAAAGAGAGGAGAAAGCAACCAGCCAAGCCCTTACTGTTTAATACGGAGCTCTGTAGGTTTGTGATGAGATTCTATGATCTCTGCCCATCTCTTCTTCCTCCAAATTAACTGCGTGCTCAGGCATTATCTTTCAAGATACGTGTTCACTTGTCACTTGTTAGTTGCTCTGATGTCCTCTTGTTTGAAGGACTGAACTGTTTCTGATCAAGTATTTTGATGGCAAAAAGTGCTGTGCTTCACTTCAGAATTGTGCTTGGGTACTTGCTGGCCCTTACCATTTTCTGTCTCCGTTTCTTCAGCCCCTTCTTGTTACTAGATCCTGCACTTTAATAGTGCCTTGTCTCTTTGTAGAAGCTTAATATCTTTGGTTTCCTTATTTATTTAAAAGTGAAAATTAAAAAAAAACCACCAACCTACCAAAAAACCACACAAATCTTCTACCAGTTTATTATGGCAAAGGAAAAAAATCATTCCAGTTGAACACTGAGTTTGAAGCCAGATGCTCATTCTTAAGGTAATGAGCCTCTCTTCTGTCCTTGAGATAGCGGGTGAGCCTGATTTATTCACATTGCTTTCCTCTGCTTCTGTTTACTGCTGTTTTAAGAGAATATTGAAAAAACTTATCCTGTGAATGTCAGTGTGAGATGCTGTCTGAGGGACAACTTCTCACAGCATCCGTGGTACTGAATTAAACAGTGCCAGTGAGCGTTCCTGTGAACTGGACCTGGATCATCTGTAGCACTAAATTGTTTGGAGACTTAGAGGTACAGGTTTGGCCCTTACCAGCTAAAAAGCTCAGCAAATTCCTCTGCACCACTCATGAGTGGGAATGGCCCAGAGCACTTCCCAGCGGACATTTTGGATGCAGCTATCTTGTATCCAGATTTTGCATAACAAAATGCAACCAAATGGACAAGAGGCAATCGTCCCAGTTGGCCTCCATTCCAGGGAATGGTCCCAGGCACATGTAATTTATTGTTGTAGACAGAGTTTTGGTGAAAAGAATTTGGAAAATGCGAGTATATGCTTAGTGAGAGATGGGGAAAGTTACTGATCTTTGATGTCTCATCATTACTGAAGTTGGTGCCTCTGCAATACAGCAAGGATAATGCTTTCCTTTCATAGTGTGGCTGTTGTGGGAGATATTTGGACTACGGACTGTCTTCCTGTCACTCTACGTGACACTGTTAAATCAGGCCCCTGCATTGCTTCCAAGGCACTCCCCCAAAATCAGACAATTAGTCTTCATAATGATGAAGAACAATCACTGTTCTGAGTGGAAAAGCCACTCTGTGAGTAATGCAGTGCCAGTGTTCAGTGCTTTCACTTCTTGTTGTCGTTTTCTGAGCTCCTGAGGCGCGGGAAGGCTGGAGGCAAGAAGCTGTCAGCATCAAATACTTGGAGAGAGAACATTTATATCTCCATTTTACTTTCTTCAATTATATATTGCATTGGCAGGGCAACAAGTAGGCAGGCAGCTTGCCTGGCCAGTGCCTGCACTGTTCTGGCACAGAGGCTCAAGCGCTTCATGCTTCAGAGCTGTCAGGCTGGCTCTTTTCACCACTAAATGCAGCTCTAAATTAAAGCTAAGTGAAAATAGAAATTTTGCTGCAGAGCTTGATCATGTCATTTTGTTCCATCCTTTCACTTGCTCAGTGGCTAAGGAAGGGAACGGCTCCCTCAGTGGGAGCATCCATTGAGTTGTAAACACGTGCAATATTAGAGCGTCTCTGTGTATATTTGTGTATGAGATCATTACAGTTGCTGTTTTAAAGATATCCATCTCTGTAGTACATAAAACCTTTGGCAGTAAAATTGTAAATCCACGCAATGGGGTGTTAAGCACACAAATCCAATTAAATCCTTCAAACAGCTTTGAAAGCCTCTCCCAGAGGGTACAGAAATGGTTATTTGTGATTCTCTTGAACTGCCTTTTATGGCAGCTTGCTTAGAGTGTCTGTGACAAGTAGTCTTCTGGGGGTTTAATGCTGCAAATGGTAGGGTCTTTAAACAAGCAAATGAATAAACTTAAGACTTGGTTTTACTCTTTTAACAGATCCTACACAAATGGGAGGCCTGAGTATGCTGCTTCTAGCAGGGGAGCATGCCCTGACTGCACAAGAGGTAAGGAACTCTCTTCTCTCCTCTACCATGAGCCCTCTCTTTAGAGAGCGCTGAAGAGGAATATTTGACCTGTGGGAAATGAAATGTAAGATACATCTTGGGTAAACCTCAGGTGAGACTGAAGTATGAGCCCTGTGATTTGAGTCCTGTATCCCAACTGTGACCACAGAGTTTTTGTATCGTTTCAATATTTAATTCTGCTGACTGAATATTTGATCAGACCAGGCAACTCTGCCCCATGAGAGGATATTGTCACAGGTCCAAGGGTTGAAGTGCAGTGAGGGTGTTTCAAAAACAGGTGGTTTGCAAGCTCTTTTGGGCAAAGATTTCATATGCTTGTGCAATGTCTCACACAACTGTGGCCTTGACACTAATAGCAAAATAAATACCTAATAGTTTTCATACAGTCAGTGTTGTTATATGTGCATTCTGAAACCATGCAACTGCTAACAGGTAATCAAAGTATTGCAGTCTATTCCTATCCACTAAGTCTTTATGCCTCAAAAGGAGTTTGTAGTTCAGTTGCCATCACAAACATTTTGTTTTTACGAAGGGAGTCTAGTAAATAAAAGTGTTCCTGCTTATCTCCAGTAGTGCAGAGACCTCTGATCTTTCTTTAGATTGTTATTTATGATCTGTTTTTAGGGCCAGCTTTGAAAATGGTTCAAAAGGTGGCTTTTATGTCAGGTGAAATAGGTAGTCACTGCCATAAATCTCTAGCCTGGAAAGTCTAGCTGTGGAATTGAGGAGGGTTGTAGGTATTTTTTTGTTTGTTTGGGTTTTGGGGGATTTTTTGTTGTTTTGGTTATTGAGAGGAAAAGCAATAGTTAACTGTCTATATGTGAGACCCCTAAATGAAAAATGTCTGGTGCATTTGAGATGGGTTGCTCCTGTACTGCCAAGACTGAACCAAGACTCCTCAATGCTTTGCACACCAGTTTGAGCAGTGGAACTCTTTGTACAGATGTGCACTAGGGCAAGGTTGGCAGGAAAGTGAAAAGAGATTTACTGGTTTGTGCTAAAATGAGAATGTCCTGTTGTTTTCAGACTTTGCATTTCTCAGCTTGGAGTTTAAAAACTGTTTTTACTATGCTGTTATGTTTAAATGAGAAGGAGGGTGCATTATAGTCACAGATGCTCAGTTCCACTAAGAAGGGTCTTTGCTATGCCCTTGTGAATTGAGCTTTCTTGGTTTTACATGAGAAGAGCCTGAAGTAGTATGATTTCAGATGGCAGTGAAGGAATAAAATCTACATGCGGATTTAGAGACAAATCGAAAAGGATGTTGTGTGATTGTTATAGTATATGAACGTTTCTCTAATAAGGATTTTCTTTTTTTGAGCAAAAGACACATTTCCCATGCACCATGCAGTATGGCTGGTGACTTAATATTTACTTAATGTATATGCTATACTATGCTGTGCTCTTTCAGGCTTGTAGTCTTCTTTTAAAACCCAGCCCTCCACATCAAAGAGGCAAGCTGTATAATCTGCTTTCTCCTACAATTTAGAGCAAAATAATTGTCATAAATACAGCCTAAACAGAACTAGTTGAGGAATTTGTTGGCTGCTGTTAGAATCATGATGGAGCAGAAATTAGCCTGTACTTACTAATGAGTTACCATATTTTAATTGTCTTAAGCTGTCTTAGGAGCAGGTAAGTGTTAGAGCACTTCCCTGGGGACCAAAACTGTACATCTCTGATTCTTTCAGAGGATCCCCTATGTAAAATAAATCCTCTAGAACAATCTGGATGCTTAGCATTCTCAGATGGACCCAAGTAGGTGAAGTTTGGTCCTCATAACTGTGTGTCAGCAGGAGTTGAGTCTCCAGCTGTGTGTCTGTGCACTGGGAAACTTCATCGGTTTCTTTGTGTGGCAGCCCTGGTGTATTCCATTTTCCTTGTGATTCAGTGTTTCAATGGTGATTAGATACAGGGCAGATGTTTCTTAGGTTTCTCTTTGCCCAGATGCAGTAAAGATCCTAAACCTGTTTAGACTTCGAAAACTGAACAGCACTTCTGGGTTCCCATCCTCAGATGTGTGGACAGAGGAGACGTAACATGTTCATCCTTGCATGCCCTATGAGACAACCTGATTCCATTTCCATGCTTATGCTTGGAAAGGGTTTCACACTCAAACCAGCATTTGGGTGGTTAACAGAACATGCTGGAAGGTGGTATGACAGGCTCAGTAAGAAGCTCAAGAATTCATTGTAGAATTGGTAGGCTGCATCATTTCTCTTCAGTGACAGGGGTTAGTTGTGTTGTGTTGGAGTTGGTATTGACATGGGGGAGAATTTGGTGTACTAAGGTGGCTGCTGAGATACTGTCAGTGAAGAGTTTTAGAATTTGTTTAACTGTGGAAAATGTAGGTATTGTTTTTATATGCATGTAAGCACGTAAATGTTGTATATCTAAAACCTATTTTAAAAAAAAGATGCAGTGTAATTTTTAAGAATTCTCTAGATGATGTCGTATAGTCTTCATTATCATTAAATCTTGTGTGTGTACATGTAAGATACACCTGCATATATATGGTTCTTAAACTGGGGGACCACCAGATGTAAGATTACCTGTCAACATGCAGTTTGACTGCTTCTGCAAATATACAGGTCTTAAATACTATTGGCATCTTAAAAATTGTTAATAGAAAGGAAGGTAGCAGTGACTACCCCTGCTCAGAACTTGGGAAAAGATGAGGAAGATGATACTTAGAGGTCTGCTAATCCCACATAAATGTATTCAACGCCCACTGTTTTTCTGTCAAGTGTATGTTAAAGGGACTGTTCAGGTCAAATGTTTAACCTTCAAGTTGTCAGAAGCCCAGATGTCTGGCAGCAAAGTGAACGGGTGCCAGTGCGAGGACAGGAAGAGGCAGAACAGCAGTATTTACAGAACTGCCTTGAGGCTTCAGTCACCATCTCTGTATGTCACAGGTTATGTTCCCATTTTTGTAATTTTTTTTTCAATAGACTAGAGAGTTTTTCTTAATATAATGGAGTTCAGTGTGGGTCCGTGATTGATTTTCAAGCAGTGGCTGAGTTACTAAGCAGATAGGCAGGAGAAGCTGCAGACCTTAACCAGCAGTAACCAAGGGACTTGGATATGCAGTGAATTACCACTTGCTCAAAAGAGTCCTTTCATCAGTTACGCAAGACTGTGGTGTGTATATGAGCATATTTAGTTGAACACCTGAGCAGAAACGGGTCTGCTGCAGCTGCTGTACTTGTGCTAGGCGAAGCCTGGTCCTCGCAGCAGGTTGATCAGAAGAAAGGCTGAAGCTGGGTGAGGAGCGCTCCTTGCTTGCCTGCTCGCCTCCCTTCCTGCTCATCTTCCTTGCTTGCCCATCGGGCCCTGTGCTTGCCCAGCGGACCCTTTTTTTGCCTTACAGCAGCACCTAGTGGCCTCTTGGTAGGTTACTGCCCAGAAATCCCAGAATTTGTAGTGTAGTCCAAAACTTGGCTCTTCTGCCAGTTTCCCCCCTTGCCGCTGCCCAGCACATCAGGATGACATTAAAGCTTGGCATCAGCCAGTGCATAAGGTGAGGCAGGGGCTGTCCCTCACCTTCATTTGGTGTGATCTGTTTTTAGAGCAGGTTATGGTAACCTGCAGTGAAAGGCAGGCTACGGAGGTGTTATCCTTTAATTTTCCTTCCCTTTGAGAACTGAAGGTTATCTTGAATGCAATGCTGGGTCTGTGCAGGGTGGTATTGCTTAGGATGTAAATCAGAAATTAAAATCCTCTCAGTGCAGCTGAGGGTAAGCTTGGAGGAAGAAAGAGAAGAAATGAGATGTTGAGGATGTTATTATGACAGCAGGAAATGAGACGTATGCAATGGCACTATCTGTGCATCCATTCCCTCCGGTAATTATTTTAACGCTTTGATCAGGTTCAGCCAGCAGAGGTTAGATGTCCTGGAAATAACACATTTCCCACAGCTCAGGAGTGTGAGAGGAGCAGCAGAGTAGAAGAAACAAGCTCAAATTAGTGCTTCTGTCAACCAAAGGCAACAGCATTACCCTTTTAAAGATAATGGATATTGATAGGAAAAGTATGGTTGTTTTACTACAGAATTAGCTGAGTTACTGAGCACCAGCAATCTGTCCTTTACACACAAAACTGTAGGAAACTGGGCTTCACGCCTTCCATGGCTTGTGGCTCCTGTACCACAAGGTGAACAAGCTGTACCCCAGCCCCAGCACATGGCTTCTGAGGCAATGAGAAGGCTCGTTCTCTCTCTCTGTGCCTAGCAGAACCCAAATTTGGTTGTTCCTGGGAGAATCCCACCGGTGAAGAGTGGCCTAAAATAACCAAATGAGCACTCAGATATGCAACCAGCATCCTCACACTTCCCACCAGTGCAGAGACTCAGACCTTCAGAGACAGGCGGATCAACAGTGGTCTGCATCTCTGGTACAATCCACACTACTGCTGAGGCACAGATTTCTTAAACATATCGTACAGAAACATGAGAAAAGCAGTAGTAAACATTACATCAGTGAAAACTTAAACCATTGAAAAAGCAAAGACATGCATTAAAAATACATTCTTTCGCATTCTGTACTCCCACAGTACACTGATAAAACATCCGGTGTGGTGTTTAATAAATACAATGGAAGCATAGATCATGGAAGGCACTGTTACTGCTTGTGTTTGATGACGGAGTTCGACTGTGTATGTAAGGAAATCCTCATGTGATGTAGTTCCCCGTGGCCTGTGGGCTGCTGGACTTGGAGCTAGTGTTTTCAGGGTCGTATGAGCAGCAGATTCCTGAAACAAAGCGCCACTGGTGCTGTTGCAGTGCATCAGCATCTCAGACAAGCAGCAGCAGGAGCACGAACTGCATGTGCTGCGGGCCTGCTGGTTCTGTGGTGCTTCATGCTCACCGGCAGCAGAGGCAGTGGCTGGCTTGAACCTCGGGTGTGCATTCGCTAATAAATGCTATTGATGTGCTTGTTTTGGTAATAAATAAGAAAAATACCCAGACATTTTAATTAAAATGTTTTAAATAACCTGAAATTTCATGGAAAATTAAAAGCTGTTAGGGAGGGGAAAAAAGTCAGTCCTGTTACTTACCTTCCTAAAATCCCTCAAAGCTTTCTTTTTGTTTCCTGTAAGCCATGTCACATACCTTATTCCATACCACCAGTACCTCATGCTTCTATAGGAGTTACACATGTAAATCTTTCACATTTGAGTGTGACATTTCACAAATGTATTGTATTTGATACAATTCCTTTACCGAACGATGCTTGATTAACACATTTCTGGCTAAGTTGAGAATTGTATGACTAAGCTCGGTGTTAATTCAAATAAGGCTTCTGGTTTTGAGCACTCATTTTTTTGTAAAGGCACCCCTAAATGAATGTTTAGGTGCTTTATTTGAGCAATTTTAGACTTGTGGTACCCTTAACTGCTTATTTTCATACTGTTAATGATGGGGGATTATTTTTCTAATGAATGTTTCTGTCCCTTAACAACCCTCAGTGTCTTCAGTCGTTTTAGCTTTGAATTAATTTTTATATTCCAAATAGTAGTACAAATTACAGCTGTGGTAGTGTTGATAGCATCACCAATACAAGGTAGTTGTGTGTGCAGGCCAGTATCATCAGTTTAGTGCTCTGTTGCATAAAACTCTTGCAAAGATCAGAATTACAAAAGAAAAAAAATCCTTGGTGTTTTTGTGGTCTTTCTTCTTGGGTGATTTTCAAATTCATCGAAAGGGGTGTTAAACTATGTTTTCACCTATAAATTTGGTTTAACCTGTCCAGGAGTGTGAAACATTAGATTGCCTGTCATCACTTAAATGCTGCTTCTTGTTACTGCTGCCTGGTGTTTTGTTCTGCTCACTGCTGTTCTTAGCTTCATAGGAGCACCTTTGAGGTCTTACTCTGCACGCTCCTTGTTTCAGGTTTCCTCGAGTACGTGTCAGTCTGATGCAACTAATTCTACGGAAACCTGTCAGAAGTCGTCATTGTTTCAATTTGCAGAGGTGAGATTCTTTAAAAAGGGTTGTCTTCCCCAGTGTTTCCTTTTAAGAGGCATCTGATGCTCATCTGAAAGATAAATCAAAAATCTTTAAAATACATGCTTTTATTTGTTCCTTTTTTTGGTTTTATGGTAATGGTTCATTTATCAGATAGGTCAGATTTGAAGTGCAGGAGAGTGTGTTTAGGAACATGGTGGAAACCCTAGCGCAGTAACGGAGCTCTGGTTTAAGCAGGAATTTTGAGATGTGTCGTTCCTGCACTTAGTTTTGAGCTAGAGTCTTAGTAATAAAAGTTTTAATATGTATATTTGGATGTTACATTACTTCCTTTATCTATTGTGAGTGCATTAATCACTGACTCCAAAAATAACTGTAGTTCTGGAATTTGAAAAATTTCTTCTATAGCAATCAAATAGCTCTATGTAACTATGCTTTAGTTTTGCAACGTACAACATTTTTGTTAATGTATTTCCAGTTATTGCTAGAAGTGTAACTGTGGTCATTTGTGGGGTTTTGGGATTTTTTGGTGGGTTTTTTTTGTTTTGTTTGTTGTTTTTTTAAGTGTACACTATTTAATCCAAGTTTTAATGGATTTCATTGGCATAAGTAACATGACAAGAATGAGATTGCAAAGAATCCTGGTCCTCTGCAAGCATTAGTTGCTTTTTTATATCTTTCCAACTTTTGAAATTGTCATAATCAAGTGACATATAATTATTTAGCTGTGTAAATACTGATTGTGCAGGTTGCTGGGTGGTGTTTGAGTAAGTGAAAGAAACATCATAGCAGGGGCTTCTTTCTATTGCTTGTTTTCACACCAGCTGTGAATCTGACTGCTGTGTCTTCAATACTCATTGCTCTGTGCACCTTCATACTTACAGAGCAGACACATTGCAGTCCTAGCACACAGAAAATGTGTTTTTTGTTTTGTTTTTTTGCAAGGCCTTGCATTCCAGCTTAAGTAGTATTAGGCAGGAATTGTGTTGTGTGCTGCAAGATGCGCTCTTGCTGAGGGCTTGTGACTGCTGGCTTTTCCTCACGCATCAAAAAACCTCAGTGGGTGCCAGGAAGCAAGCTCATCTCCACCACTAAAACATGCAGTTTGGAAGCTGCTCGCTGATGATTAGAAATACATATTAGCTAGTCTTAGTTTTCAGGGATGTTAAACAGCCTGTAGTGAGGCTGCACCTAACCAGGGCATGGTAGGTATGTGTGTCAATGGCAAAATAATTGGTAGTTGTACCAAGGTCTGACATTAATCAGAGGTGTCATTTGCAACAAAAATAACTGACTTGTATGAGTTAAAGAGTGTAAGATGCAGTTCCCTTGGTGTCTGAGATGATCTGATATCTCTTCTTAAAGTACCTGCACATGTTGTGTCCCTGTCTGCACTTAGCTCCTGTGCTGGGTAGCAATTGGTGCTCTGTCAGCACCATTCTGCAGTCCCGGGTCTTTCACTGAACTGTGAAATACAATATAGTGTTAAGTTTTTGCTGCTGACCCTCTTTTGACATACCAGCAGGCAAATAAAAGCCCCTCAGAAAAGGCTTAGCCTGTTCTATTGACCCTAGAAAAAATTTTCCTTGTGAAAAATAATTCAAGATCACCACTTCTTAGATCACCTATTCCCATGTCTCCTGGAAAGCAGATACTGGTCTTTGTACAGGTGTGCTGGGACTCATTTCCATGCTCTTAGGTACCAGGAGTCTTTCTGTATGATGGATCAGAAATTTAGCACGTGTGAGTTTGACATGGAAACTGAAGAGTTAGGTAATACAAGAATAATTGTTTTCCTGACAGATCTCTTCAAGCACATCACAGCCTGGAGTCCCGGGAGCTGTAAAGCAAACTGAGGAGTCTGCGTTATTTCAGTTTGCCGAGGTATAATGGCTGAAGCGTGGTGGGGGAGGATGAGAGGAAGCAGTAGGAGTTGTCACTGAATGGCTAAGCACCCTGTCTCGTGAGGGTTTCCCATCAGTAGATGTTTATCTTTCTGACAGTATTGTGTTAAGAAAATCATAGGGGGAATAACCAGTGTTTTGAAGAAATGTTGCTAGTTCTATTAGCTGTAGTATGCACGAAAGATACTGGGCTTGTGAACATTACCTGGCCTTTCATACCAAAGGACTGCTCCTGATGTTTTTATGCCAAATAGGGGAAATATAAACCCAAAACCAAACCAAAACCCACAAATAAAAGACATTCTGAATTGACACTATGCACTGCCTATGGAAGAGGCTGCAGCAGTGCAAAATGGCAACTGCCCTAGAGGCAGGAATCCTTTGGAAAATAAATTTGCAGGTCAAAGGAAGCTTATCACAACAGCTGCCGGGATATGTAACAGCATTGTTAGGTGATGACTTATAAAGCCTGTAAATTACTCGTCAGTGTGTAAGCTATCCTTCCTCCTCCATGTATTGAAGATCTGGAGTTCTGAAAGATTGATTTCAAGAATTTTTTCTGCTGTGTGTTTAATGTGCCTCTATGAATTGACTTTCCACACACATACTCTTCTTGCCCATTTGGGGGAGCCTGGTACTGCTTGCAGGATCAGTTACATTAGAGTTATCTTCAGTATGTGTCTGAAAAGACTGGGATTAGAGCTGGTGCTATCGTAGAAGAGCATAACGGGATGAAAAGACTCTGTTATTCAATGTGTTTACAGAGGCCTGACTACATACAACACACTTTCTGCTAATGTTTAGCTAATTATGTACTGTGTGTTTTTAGCTTGACTAGAATGCGCTTTGATGTCTGTCTTAGGAGGTCCAATTAAGAAAAAATAATTTACTGATTCAGATGTCATGAAATACCTGACTACAACACAGCCCTATTAAAGTTACAATAGAGTTAATATCTATAATCATAAAGATATTCTCATATGTGCCACCTTTTTTAAAGTCACAAGTTAATTTGGAAAGTTCTTTTGAGAAAATTAGTGGAATCGAGCAGGATGAAGCCATGTGCTGAAGCCAGTCTTTTAAACCATGTAAAAGATAAGCTGGAAAACATTTCTTATGATTTTATTTTTTTCCAAAATGTTGTACGAGTGAATCTGCTAACTTAGTTACAGAAATCTTAGCCATCTTACATTTTAATTAAACAGCAATTTTAGATATCTGCAGAGTTGAACAGGGTATGAGTTGGCTTTAGTACAGCATTTCCAAATGGTCATGTAAAATGTGACATAGCCATACTTTTCAAAATTTCACAGAACCTAAATTGAACAACCAACAAAATAAGAAACGTTAAAATTGTCATATGGATGGGACAGTGCATTGAGTTGCATACCACTACACTGAGCCAGCTCATTTAGCACATTGGAGTGCATGTATGAATCATTATGTTAGGTAGAAGAGGTGCTTAGACAGTTAATTAGAAACTGGAGAGGACAGTTTTAAAGTCAGGGTTAATCCCTCTTTCTTGTGAAAATGTTAAAATGTGTGTGCAGTCTGGAGAGGGTTGTGTTGTTGTTGTTGTTTTTGTTTTTTCAGTGTCTGGAAATAAGGGACAGAAATCTGGAAAAGCAGAAACCAAATCAAACCAAAAAAAACCCCAAAACTTGTTGGCCATGGTTATTCCTCCTGTGTTACACTGTTGTGAAACCTTAGTGACGGTGACTGACATACAGTTTATCTACAGCAATAGAAAAATGGCGCTTTTTGTAAGATTACACCTTAATTTCATTTAGGTTGTTCCAGGGGCAAGTATTGAGTATACTACAGAACCTATTTAAGCTTTCTCCCCCTGCTATTAAAGCTGCTTGTGCTCTTTCAAATATAAGGCCTTTCATTTGCACAGGGTGTCTTTGCCAAGTTTGGCAAAAATCCTGTTATTTACTGTGCCACCTCTTACTGGGTCCTGTCTAGACCCAGTACGCCTTACTACATTTAGGAAGCTAAATTATGGTAAGCAATTTGTAGTAGGCTGCTGTCGGCAAGGTACAGTGCTACAAAAGAAAATAGAGAGAAGGGAGTTATTTAGCCAGTAGCCAAGCAGACCTGTGAAGAAATGTGAAGTGTGCTGTGGTCTGATGTGCCTGGAGACTTTTGGCAGCCGTCCCAGCTCAGTTTTGGTTCTGGCTGGGTGTTCTTCATATGTTCCCTTTCTCTTTGCCGCCTTTGCAGCAGGGTGAGTAAGAGTGCCTCTTTGTGAAGACAGTGATCCCATTGAGTGGACTTGTCATTTAAAATGGACACCTTTACCCCAGCAGTACAAGTCCCCTGTCACTCAGAAACAGCTCGTTATATGCAGATGTAGCATGGGATTATTTCGTCCGTACAGCCTGGGTTACCCTTTCATCTGGTTGTCTGTGCCAAGTGCTATAGTCTTCAATTAGAGCCATTGAGGATATGGCTAATGAGGCCTGCCCAGTGCCTTGCCACAACAGATAATTAAAAACCTGGGATTAAGACTTCCTTGGGTCCTGCGAGTGTGCAGGCAGTCGCCTTGGAGCTCTTTGAAGATGATGTGCCGTCCTCATGGGAGTTTTTTGAAATCTGGAGTGTTGCCACGTTGTGCTCTTGGCTTTCTCATTCTGCTCTGATCTTAGAAATCCTTAACACTACTTTTGTCCTTTTCCTCTGTACCTTTATGGAAAGCCATGATATAGGCTAGTGGTTTTTGAGCAGTGGGCTGTGTTCCTTAGCGCGGTGGCTGTTTGCAAGCTGTCTGCTCACATGGGCCGGTTGCTGTCATCCTGCGTGCCATGTGAGGGAAGCAGAGCAGATGGGACCCCTTGCTCTCTGGGTCTTCCTGGATGTGTGTTTGGCAAATGCGAACAGATGGTGATGACTGCTCGGTAGAGAAGAAACACAAGTACTTCTTAGGTTTACTTTCCTAAACTCTCATCCGTTATTAAACAAAGAAACTGCTTCTTGAGAGTGGAAGCAATAAAATTGCTAGTTTAGCCATCTTAAAAACACAATGAAGCCAAAACACACAAACTCTTCACTTTCAACTGTTTTCTTCTGAAGTTTTTCTGTAGGTGATTCACTTAAAAAAAAAAAAAACAATTGTATGCAGCATGCAGCAAGGTGGCATTTTCTTTGCTGGTCCAGCAGGTTACTATCATTTAAGAAAAATGCATGCTTGAGGATGATTTTTTCCCTGCTGCATTCTCACTTGCTTACTTTGAGCAGGCTTGTCGGCAACTCTTTCTGTTTATTTCTGTGCTGAGCTGAAGATTTGGATCCAGAACTTTTGGTCAAAATGCCTTGAAATTGAGAGTGTGAGACCTAGTCAGTATCTTCTCTTTCACCTTTCCCTTAGGTAAAGCTGTTATCTTCCCAGGTAAAGCCATTACATAAAATAGATTAATATATTTGCTGTTTACCTGTATTCTGAAATTATCAAATTATGTGTTGAAATGAAATGCCTATTCTAGGAGGGAAATAAAGTGGTACTATGACACATGCTTATTACACGAACTAGAATATAACATAGTAGCTAAAATGAGCTGCATTGTCATAGAAGATAATAACTTGATCCTAATGATCCCCAAGTTAAACCTCTACATAAGAAGGGGCTATTTATGGTTGTAGTACTGCAGGATCTGATTATTCTAATTAAAACAGGAAGATGGTGTTAAGACAGGGAATGAGATCTGTACTCTCACTGAGATCTGACTGATCAGTTGTCCTTTTACCTCTGATGTTTGGCCAGCAACTTTGGCAGAATGGGTTCTAAGTTTGTCTCTTGCAGTTTTTCTTGATTACGAAGAGATTTTTTTTTTTCTGCAGCAAAATGTTGCCTTGCTCTCTTTCTATTGGTACTACAAGGATGCTGCTTGTGTTTCGTTAAGAGCACTCGTTCTAGTGTCAAAATTAAATTCTTTATTCCTTCCTCACACTGTGCAACAGGAGACAAGATAGGCCTGCGTGCTCAGGTTATACTTCAATGTGTGGGTGGTTTTTTTGTCCCTTTTCTGCTATTCATATTGCACTGAAAAAAAATCATTAAGAGCCGAGAATTTAGTGTGTTAGAAAGATAAAAAGTTGAGGCCCTCTTCCTGTAAAGTGCAGTGTACAAGATCATTGGCTCCAGTGAGGTCCTGAGCAGTTTCACTGAACTGTCGCAAAGCAAAACTAGAATTTTGAACTATTTTAGTTTAATATTAAAAATTATTAATTCACATTCAAGCATTACCATATTTTAAGTAGCTTGCAGTAAAATGGCTGATCTGGATTCTGGGAGGCAGGGGGGTTGCAATGAATCTTCCTGACAATTGAAAAGTAAACTCTTCAAATAATCTAGTTCAAAAGAAAAACATTAAATATAAAGAGGAAGTCTAAACTGAAAATTTCTGCATCTGAAGGATCACGGTCACAAGCATGATTTCTGTGATGAGGCAAATCCCATGCGAATGCTGGTGGTCTTGTCCCTCATCTTAGGGCTTTTCAAGACTTCCAGGTCAAATACTACTATGTAATGCCATGCCAAAAAATGATCAAATATGAGAGATAATGTTTAATTCTTGTGTTGGTGAACTCATTATGCTGCACTTGGAAGCAGGTCAGAAAAAATTTGGCTGCAAAAGTAATTCCCTGAAGTACAGTGGCCGTTACTTCCTCAGCACTGGTGCTGGCATACCAGCATCTCTTTAGAAGGCTAGATTTGATCTCCAGATATAAGGTCTGATTTCTTCTCTCTAAGTAAATAAAGTGAAACAAGCAGTGCCTGTGGGGGCACCTCTTCTGTATGTAACGAAATGGGAAATACTGCTCAGGCTTTCCAGAAAAATTTTGACCACCACAGTTCATGTTTTTAAGCAACAGGTTTTGTTCGCTTAGTTACATAAAACACACTTGAAACACATGGCATGATAGAATATTAGCTGTAAACATCACAAACATAGAAGAGAATCCACGAGTCTAATCTAAGGAAGAAATTCTGTATTAGTTTGTATTCTGCTGACTTCTAAATGCCTGTTATGTGTTTCTTGGATGGGATTGCCTATCTGAAGTTAAACCTTCTTGAAAAGTAACTGATTTAACTAACTCCTTAATTTTTTCATTCTTTTTCTTTCTTCCTTCCTGTTTTTCCTGTGTGCCACTGAAATATTTTCTCCTCTCTTCATTTAAAACCTAGATCTCATCAAATACTTCCCAGTTGTCAAGTCCTGAGCCAGTAAAGCACTGTGGGAAGTCGGCACTCTTCCAGTTGGCAGAGGTAAAGTTATACCCATTGGCGTCACAACAGGGAGAAGTGTGTAACTTTTCCTCAAAAGAGTGTGAATTGTGTAAGGTTTGCTCTTGTATCAAATTTGTATTTCCAGAAGCATAAATTAGTAAATAATGGAGTAGCAAGACAATTAGGCTATGACAGTGGCCCCAGGGACCTTGCTTTTCTTTGTACGCTTGTTAATGTGCATAGTTTCTTGGAGACTGCATGTAAAAAGTTATACTTCTTTTTTAGAAAAGTTAGCCTTATAACTGTAACAAGAACAAAAACTGTGTTCAGGACAACAGCAAGGACAAGAGACAACAGCATTCTTAATGAGGAGCTGGATGCCAGCATTCAAAAAGTAAACTTTCGGTTATAAGGACTGGAAGGTGCGTTGCTGACTTGGAGACCAACAATAAGGAGAGAGAAGTAGGCTTTGAGATCATCAGGAATCTGTATGGAGAGTTGGAAGTTGAATCAATGCATTAAGTTTGGAAATTGTCAGCAGTAATCAAGAACACTGGGTCAGGTTTCCCAGCAGTCCTAGACATTCTCTGTGAGTCTTAAATATAACCTTGTAGAGGTCTCCTCTTTGATATGGATGAATCACTCAAAAACCTTTTGAGGCTTGATGTGCAAATACTGTTCTTGATGATTAAAAGATGAAGATACATGCCCTATTCTGAGTAGATAAGGGAGGATCCCAGCACGTTACTTGTACAC